TTGTCAATCAAAACTATACATATTGGTACAAAGAATCTTAAAAAAAAGTCATTGAAATAGATTTAATGACATCTTACTTAAAAGTCTGAATTTTAATTCGATCCCAAGACATGTTGTTCAATTAATTTTAAATATCCATCCAAAGAAGAAGGGGGAATGTGAATTTATTAAGTATACAATAAATATCAATAGTAACCTACAAAAATCAAAGATTCTCAACATTTCAATGCATCATTTACTAGAAGTGTTTGGTGAGGAACATGTTAGAAAAAGATTAGAAATTATCAGATTAATTTTCGAATCATTCCCTTTAGTTTCAGATGATAAAATTTAAGAATAAATATCTGAAAAAGTAAACATTCAATATTTATGGGTTTTCCAAATTTCATTTAGATTTTTTTTTTTCTTTGTGTGTGTGTGCATGAATATATTGTAATGTAAATAGAATTCAGCTTTGCTTCAGAAATTCATTGCAAATGATAGAATATGAGCATTGTGAGGTATGCCATTTCAGGAATCATATCACCAACTGAGTAGTGTAAAAAACAACAGAATCATTAAGCAATGTCTGTCTGCATGTGATTGCCATTTGTGAGTGAAGCGGTAAATTTGTTGTGCAGCGGTAAAGGTCTTACGCGCATGCATCAACGCGACGCATGCGCAGAAAGTTTGTAGCTTTTAGGTCCGGATTATGGGTGTCCGAATTAACGACTTTTGACTGTATCAGATAGCATATTTGGATACATTATAACAGACTTCTTTTTCTTTGACATACCCAGCTCCTGTCCTACAGGAAGCACAATGCATAAATAGAAATCACTCACATAATCTGAAGGTTATCTCCACACTATTGGAACTGCAAAGGGAATCGATATTTTTTGTGATTTAACCATTTTCGCAGAAGAAAAGCTCACAAATAGCAGCAGATGCATGGGTCCCAGAAATTGTCTTGATCTCCCTCTTTGAAGCCAAAACAGAAATTGGAAGCTTTTTTGACCATGGGAGGCAGGTTTTGTTTCTACTACACACACCTCACCACAAATATAACAAAAATTTTCCCTGTTAGCGACAAATTTACAAAGCATCTTGCTTGAACTCTGTTGTACAACTGACTAAAGAAGTACTATGCAATACGCTATGGTGATTGCATCATTCTTTAATGGTAAACACCTATTTTTTACATTCTTCTTTCTCCATACAAGACATGCACACTTCTCATTTTTTTGCATAGTTGTTCTCCCTATGTACAAAACAATCTGGTTTGGGTTTAAAAAAAAGAGGGGGATTGCAAAAACTTGGCAGCATGCATAAATTTTGCATTAAAATCCCAAAATGTAAAAGAAAAAAAGAGCAACGTAGTGACTTTAAACCAGCCACATTTAATCTCTATGCATGCAGAAAGACTAAAATTTCACTCAAGATGATGAAAACTGCAACATGCGGTCCACCATTCTGAAATGTTGAAGGAGGATAGGAGATACACCATAAGAGGGATTATAATACACAGTCACATAGGTGAAATTATTCAATGAAGAGGAAAGCTATCATCTGGTATGGTATGCACACTGCGCAAAAAAAAGGGGGGGAACAGTTCTATATCTTCCATTCTACTGGGCCAATTGACAAAATTCAAATTGCGTTTTTTATGTCTCAAAGCGCTATTTAGAATATTCATTATATAGCACTGTTCTAACATAGGTATTTTGACACAAAATAGGATTTTTTCTCAAATAACATACCAATTTTTTTTCCATATTTCGATTCTATGACTCAAATTATGCCTAGATATTAAATTTTGTAAAATCTGATGCGAAATTTAGAGAGAAATTAAAAAATTTATCTTGGCAAATTTTTTACAGTTTGCGCCAAGAATAATTCACTTGCCGAACTTCTTAATATGTGGCAACCAATTTTCCTTTCCCTTCCATTATGCTGGAGCAGAAAAAAAGGCATCTCGTTCCTATATTTTTACATTGTACATGAACGGAAAAAAAGTCACATTATTTCTGCTTCCAAATAATATTAGCAAAGTGTCTACACTACATTTGGTGTTTTATCACTTTCAACAAATATGCCAAATTTCAGAGCGGGCCAACATATAAATTCACGTATATCTTCGGAAATTTTGAATAAAAAACCATAATTTTTTGCACGTATGCACAAAAATATGTCTACATAAAGATGATGATAAAATTTTTACAGATTATAATTCAAAAATTTTTTGAAAAATTTATAAAAAATATTTAAAAATACAAAGTTTAAAAATAAATCATAAAAAATGGGTGAATTTTCTTTGGAATGAACCTAAATCTCGAAATGTGAAAGGAAGAATCAAATACATTTAATAAAAAAAAGAGAGATTAATAAAATATATACCAAACTCAATTAACATTGAGGAGCTAAAATTTTGAGAGCTAATTTTTTAAAATCTACTCGCACGATTATTAGAAAACTTGGTAGTTTGGCGTAATTTGAGTCATAGAATTGAAGTATGGAAAAATTTGGTATGTTATTTCAGATAAAGTCCGATTTTGTGCCAAAATACCTATATTAGAACGATGCTATATATAAATCTAATATGGTTCCCAGACAAAAACCCACTGGATGAAAGCGCACGCGACAAAAGCCCACAAAAAAAAAAAAAAAAAAAAAAGCCCACTATGATAATTGTCCACGCGACAAATGCCCACAGCGATGAAAGCGCACGTTGATAAAAGCCCACACTGATAAAAGCCCACACTGATAAAAGCCCACATAGATATAAGTCCACGCTGATAAAAGCACACACTGATAAATGTGCACATAATTGAAAGGGACTTATTGTTTTTATTACTATAAAATGTATTTATAATTTTAATTATAATAAATGGAGTATTCAGATTTGAATGTTAATGTCTCAAATATATGTCTGTTTGTATATTTTATCACTCCTTTATTTGTTTAATTTTTTTAGGTTGAAATCAAACTCTCTGCTCTCTGATTGATTAGCTACAACATTTCGATGATAAATCTGAAATTGCATTTTATTATTTATTTACTTATTTAACTTTGGTATGTATATGTAAAAACGAAAAATATCATTGTGAAGTTTCTCACATGCTATTTTTAAGGTAATATGGCTGAGATTAAATATAATTATGTTTCATTATTAACTTTTTAATTAAAAAACACCTGAATTTTATTTTCTTCCTTCTTAGTTTTTCCTTTAATTTCTTTTTAGTTTGGTGATATTAAAACAGTTAAGCACAATGAAAACTTTGCTAAGAGATATTTTATTCTTTAGACTGAGTTTATTATCAAAGTTTAAACATATTTCTCATTGAAAGCTTTTTTGAATGTAACAATTATAATTCAGCGATTTTCTAGAAATATTTTCTTTCAGATTTCTGAATAAATTAAAACTGTCAACTGACACCTTGTCAGAAGATGAATTCCATATGTAACCTCTTAATCTTTCAACTACAGCAATTTGGAATAGTGCTTTTAATTTTCATTTTATTTATTTATTTATTTATTTTTAGGGGGGGTGGAAAACTCTTAGAAGTCAACATATCTACAAATTTAAGTAGTACAATCATCTCAATCTATAGTAATATATATGTAGCATTTTATTAGAGTTTGTGAAGAATACAAAGAACTATGTATATAATTACATCCAATAAAATTCTGTAACTACATAAATATATACAGTCATCAGATTCAAAGTTCATTGTTTTTAGATGCTAAGTACACATATTATATAAATTCATCCTTCATTCATAGTATTATGTATAGTAATAGAAAACTAGTATTAATGTTTGAAATTGCAATTTTTTAAATAATTTGTATTGCATTTACTGTATGTTTGTTCAAGACGTATGGATATGTATCAGTTAAAAAACATGAAAAATACACAGAAAGCAGCTAATCTTACATAACCAGCTGACTGTGAAAGAAAAATTACAGTGCTCTTTATTACACTTATAGTGCTTTTAAATCTTTCTATTGTAAATAGCCGTTTTCTAATTGACAAAATAATAGACTAAATTAATTCCATTATCCATTAGAAAATAATAATAGTGAATTATATCTATTGACGACAAATTATCTATTGACACAAATGTTTTCTTAATCATAACAAAATATGGTACTTTTATCTTTCTTGTTGAAATAAAAGTTCGACTTTAATTCTCCTCATTATATGCAAAATTTTCCTCAGAGTTAAATTAGTCATAAATTATTCTCTGAATATGATGAAAATTTACATACATTTTATACTTCCCTTTCAACTCCCTTTGTGGAACTTATATGCAGGGCACTTCTATTTGTCGCGTAAATAGTATAATAACAAAGTTACACATACATGTATATGTTTATAATTACATTATTTTGATTGACTCTCTTAATTCAGCCGGAGCCAAAAATGAAATGTGTACCTCTACTTAAATTTATTGTTCAATTATTCGTTATTAATTTAATTTATTTTTGTTTTATCTTTATTCATGAATCTACTTTGTGCAGCTGAAGAAAAAAGGGAAAAATATTCATTTTAACGTAGCATATATTATATATAGGTGTGGGTTTTTGTCAGTGTGGGATTGTTTCAATGTGGGCTTTTATCAAGGTGCGCTTTCATCGGTGTGGGTATTAGTCGCGTAGGCAATTATCCCAGTGGGGTCTTTTTTGTGCGCTTTCGTCCAGTGGGCTTTTGTCTGGTTACCATCTAATACATATCCTAAGTAGAGCTTTCGAAATATGAAAAACTCAAGTTGAATTTCATCAATCGGCCCTGAGCCCCCCCATTTTTTTTGCGCTGTGTACATACCTGGTTTGCTATATAAATGCATTTTAATGACATGGTATGTTGCCTCTTGCATACTTTTTCACAGCTTTATGGTAAGAAAGAATGTGGATACTACAATTACTTATAATTTAACTTATATTGCGCAGACGTTTAAATCACAGGGTTATTTAGTATTAGCCTATATAGATAAAATGAACATAAAAAATTCAATACATACTCATGCATCGTGCAGCCTGCTGCATATGTTTCTTTGAGATTGCTTCAAAATCTGAATCATACATGTAATCTTTACATACAAAGCAATAAACAGTACCAATATTGGTATCCATGGCTAGAAATACAAAGATAAAGTTTGCACTAGTGCTCACAACATTAAAATTAAGATTATTATTCATGTGTTTATAAAAAAAGCTTAATAAACATTTTTTTTAAAGTTAAAAACCCTTTTTAGAAACTTCTTTTATACCAATCACAAAATTTCTGCTTGTTTAAATAATACATTAAGTTAAATTCTTATATACAGTGTTGAGAATGGTTAGCAGAGATAGCATGCCTAAATATCAAATTTCTTTTTAACGGATTAGTTACACAAGGATCAAACACATGCCAAACAAATATTAAGAATATTAAAAGGCCTTTAAGAACGATCAATGAAAAAATTAAAAAAACCTACCAGTAAACAAAACTGAATAAATTAAAGCAATTATCTATTAATCATTATTAAATACAATCCAACATTTGGCATAAAAACGTTTGATAGCAAGCACACTTGTGGAACCACCTTACTAGAAGTGTGCAAGTGTGTCATTAAATTACAAGTATAATGTTTTAAAACAATTACATTTTACATTTATAATACACAAATGGGGAAAATTACAGGAATAACCATAAAAATTATTTTTTAAATCTGTTCTATTAAACTTCTAAATACCACTATTCTGCACACACAATCCTACACATATTTCTCAGCAAAATTTTATCCTATCCATGTCAGGTTTTTCTGAGAAAGAAATGAAATCATTGGTGGTCAGTCCCAGGGGCATATATGTTTTTTAATGGAGCTTCATAAACTATTAATTGAGTTTGTGTGAACATTGGAAAGCAAGTCCTTAAATGTCGTATCTTTAAATGCCAATGTTTGACTGACCAAGAAGGTCATAATATGTTCATCTTAGAATTACATGCTATCAAGCTGTCTGAGATAAATACTGAACTCTGCCTTATATTTCTTTTAATAACCATGAGAAAAGATTTATTCTCTTTTTCCTCAACAACTTTAGGAAGAAAAAAAAAAAAAAAAATACTCAGACACATTTCAGTGCCTTCATTCAGACAAGTTCCATTCATTCTTTACTATACTTATATATAGTGCTTTTCTTTCAAATTTACATTCATGAATTTCAACAATCACCTGAACATTCAATAACTTTTTTCTCATACACACACAGTCCTACACATGTTTCTCTGCAAAACTTCATACAATCTATAATATATTCCTCCAAGACATAAATCCCAAAAGAAATGAAATCATGTGGGTTGAGTTCTATGCAGACACCTTTATGAGAATTTCAGAAACTTTCAATAGAGTTTGTGTGACCCCTAAATACTATATGGTTCATAAATGTCATTGACTGAAAAGTACAAAACACCTGCATATCAAAGACAATTACATGCATTCCAGCCAAATGACTATAGAGTCCTATTTTATGTTTCACTTAATAATTTCGAGAAGAGCTTTTTTCAACAAGCTTGGGGGGGGGAAGTCTTAATCCTATCCAAGATGTTATTTCTCTGAAACATTAATCTCAAAAGAAATGAAATCACGTGGGTTCAATTTCATGCAAATATCTTTTACTGGAGTTCCACAAACATTGAGTTTGTACAAGCCTTAGAAACAGGGTTCATAAAAGTTGTATTACGACTATAAAACTTTCATCTTGAAGACAATTACATGGTTTTGAGGGATTTGAGACAATTATAAAATAATATTTTATATTCCTCTTAATAATTTTCAGGAGTTTCCTTAAGACTTTCCTAAAAAACTTGGAGAAAAGACCCCCTCAGATCCCCTTTAATGCTTCCATTCACTCTTTTACTATAGATGTATTTTTTTACCCGTGAGCTAACTTTTATCAATTTCAACAATCACATCATAACATCAAACCTTACTACTTTCATACACATACATTCCTATAAAATACTTCTCAGTAAAATTTCATCGCATCCATGCCACATTTACCTCAGCCACCAGTTTCAAAAGAAATGAAATCATAGGTAGTTAGCTTCATGCAAAGACCTTTTATTACAGCTCTTGAACTTTAACTGACTTTCTGTGAGCCATAGAAATTAAGTCTTTTAATGTCATAAAATGACAAATTCAAAAGCATCTACACACTTCATCTTTATGACAATTACATGACTTCCAGCCATCTAAGACAATTATAGAAACAACTTTATGATTCTCTTAACTCTCTGACCAGCTGGGGTTTTGAGAAAGCACAAAGTTTCATAAAACACCATGATAAAGACTTATTTTCTTGATTTAAGGTCAAAATGACCCTGGTTCATAACGCCTGGATTTATGTGCTTTTAATATATTGCATTAATTTCTTGGACATATTTGAAGATGCACATATGTATATGCTCTTACAGAGATCACTAAAAATATTTTAGGCTGTATATATACAGCCTTGTCGGTCAGAGGGTTAATAACTTTGTGAAGTGTTTTCTTCATTCTTTCCTCAAAAATTTGGAAAAAGAAATGCATCAGACTCTTTCAGAGTCTTCCTACAGACAGATTCCAATCTGGCTTTTGAATTTGCTTTCATCAGTTTGAACAGTGGCAGCAGAACTTTCAGTCATACTACTTTCATACCTGATGTTCCTGCATATATCTCTGTACAAAACATCCTATTCCCGATACATTTCTCTAAGATATCAATTTAAAAATAAACAAAATCATGGCTGGTGAGTTCCATGCAAAGATCATTAAAAAAACTATAAAAGCATTTAATAGAGTTTATGTCAACTCTAGAAACACAGTTCTTAATTGTCATAGTACCACAGACTGAAAGACTGTCATAGTACCACAGAACTTTTCACTTTGAACACATTTACATGCTTCCAGCCATTTGAATTAATTATAGAACTCTGCATTACATTTTATTTGATAATTCTGAAAAGTGCTTTCTTTCGATTTTACTCAACAAGCTTAGGGGAAGAAAAAGAGTCAGAGATCTTTCAATGAATTCATATAGTAAGTTTCCATCCCCTCTTATACTATGAATATATTTTGACTTTCAAATATATTATCAATTTAAACAGTCAGCCCAGAACCTCAAATCATACTACTTTCATTAATGAACATTTCTACACATACTTCTCCGTAAAAGATCATCCCCTTCATGACATATTTCTCCAATATGCCATCTGAAACGGAATGAAATTATAGGTTGACAGTTCCCTGTAGCCATTTTTTAATGAAACATCAGAATCTTTTAATCGGGTTTGTGTGAGCCTTAGAAAGCAAATCCTTTAATGTCCTACTGTGACTGACCAAGAGTGGCATCAGAATTTCACTTACAAACACTTATGTGCCATCCAACAATGTGAGACAATTATAGAAGCAAACTTCATATTTACCTTAATAATTTTGAGAAGAGACCAATAAGCTTTGAAAACAAAGTTAGACCCCTTTTAATGCTTCTATATAGCCAGAATCCACTCTTGTTTTCTGAATTTGCTTTCATCAAATTCAATAATCACATCAGAACCTCCAATCATATTACTTGCACACATTTCTCTCAGGAAAAGCTCATCTGACCCATGACATATTTCTTTGGGACATTGGTCTATAAAAAAATGAAACTACAGGTTCTCAGTTCCGTCAAGAGATCTTTGAATGGAGCTCCATAAACCTTGAGTTTGGTGAGTCCTAGAGAGTAATTCCTTAAATGCCATAGTATAACTAATGGGAGGACCTACAGAACCTACATTTTGATGAAAATTGCATACAATCCAGCCATCTGATAATATTACAGAACAATGCTTTATGTCTTCCTTAGTAACTTTGGGAAGAGTTTTCTCTATACTTTACTCAAGAAGCTCGGGGAGGGGAAAATTAGACACCATAAAATTCCTCATTATAGCAAGATTCCATTCATTTCTTACTATGGTATTATTTCTGAACTGACATTTATCAGTTTCAATGGTCACACCAGAAATCCAGTTATAGTACTTATACACATTCCCACACATACTTTTCTCAAAAACATAATCCATACATGACCAATTTCTCTAACACATCTTAAAAGAAAGTTTATCTCAAAGGAAATAAACCTGTGGGTGGTCAGTTCCATGCAGATATCTTTAAATGGACCACCACAAACTCTTACTCGAATCTGAGTGCAGCCTAGAAAACAAGTACTTAAATGTCAAGTAATCTTCATCTGACAGGTACATGAAATCTTCATCTTTATGAGAATTGCATGCCATCCAGCCATTTGAGGCAGTTATTGAACCCTGCATTATGTTTCTCTAAATAAAACTTTTAGAAGACTTTTCTTCACTTTTTCCTCAAACAACATTAGGAAAAACAAAAGAGTCAGACTACTATTAATGCCTCCACAGTGCCAGATCACATTCTTGCTTACTGAATGTGCTTTCATCAACTTCAAGAATCACAACAGAACATCCAATCATACCATACAAACCTCTCTGAAAAACCTTATCCTGTTCATGACACATTCCATCCAAGATACATCAAATTCAAAAGGAATTAAATCATGGGAGGTCAGTTTCATGGAGACATCTTTTACTGAAGCTCCATAAACCTTTAACTGAGTTAGTATGGAACCTAGAAACGAAGTCCTTAAAGTTCATACTATGATTGACTGAAAGGATATCCAAAACCATACTTGCCAACCTATGACACTCAAAAATCAGGAGATTTTTTTTTAAGAAATAGGGAGATTTTTCACAATGTTAAAAAGACTTTTTTAATAATGAATTAACTTTAAATAGTAACTAATTCTTAAATGCAAGCAACACAAAAATACCTTACACATAAAAAAAAAAAACATGGTTGATCTTTACATTATGGTAACTTGGCGATTTTTTGGCGAAAATTTGGCAACCAACTCTCCTACAGCAACCCTCTATTTTTTTTTCCCCACCGCCATTTTGTCTTCACGAAGTAAAGACATGTTTCTTTTCTTTTTATCTACTGAACACTTCTTCCAACAATCTACTAGCCGAATTACACTTATGCTAGAAATTTTATTAAACAAAACTGCTTAATCATGACAAATATTAACTGCAAAATTGGGGAAA